TATGAATGGATCACTGTAAATTGGTGATGACACCATGTGTTTGCGAAACGTGAGAGCCATGTCCTGTTCTACCGGTAGTACCATCACTCGCTCACGTGTCATACGTCAATTGGTAATCAGTTTCAGAATAGTGGAGTCTGTTAGACATCTGCAAACCACACAACAGGGAAATAACACATTCAAAAGCTTTCACGTGAAAGCGTGGACATATCCCTTTCATCAGTTTCCTTTGAATCAATCTTGCTGACAGCAGTATGATTACCTGAATCAATATTTTCGACAATGGTACGACACGCTGTACTCAACTATCTATCTACCATTGATTTCATCAAACAGTATTTGATCTTTTGATATAGCCGCATATATTCTTCAATAGAAGTTCAAGTAGGTATAACCTGACGAAACAACGGTGCCTTTGCATGCACACACAATACACTGGGCATGTTAGATGACAATAAATTATTTAGACAACACAGTCACAATCCAACTCATAATCCCCGTGAAGATCCGGGGTAGAATAGGTCTTCACCAACCCATGCTTGCCGTAAATGCTTGATCCAGATTCGTTTATTACTAACGGGATCGGATGGTCAGGCTCGCTGGATCGATGCTCATGATATCAATCCCTGTATTGTCTGGTCCAGACTCGATTATTTACAGACCGCCGTCATATAGCTGCAGCATTGCTCAGTGCGGCATTAAACAACAAACAAACAAACAAACAAGCAAACAACATAATACTTATAATAATAATTGGGCCGATACCCATGAGCTCTTTTACGATGCTGAAAAAGTGAGAGGGCCTATCGTTGATTCAAATTCACAACCAGCAAAGCTCCCGGCTACATGCTATTTAAATGTACTGTTGGTAAGAATAAATGTCCCAAGCAGCCAATGCATGTAGTAAGAGGCGTCTCAGATGATAGGGTGTCAGGTGAGGTTGCTTGGGTGATTGTGTGTCATCGTTTCCGAATTGTGTAGATCGATGCTCATGATGACAATCACTGTATTGTCTGGTCCATACTCGATTATTTGCAGACCACCGTCTAGCTGGAATATTTATGAGTTAACTAAGGCACGTCCATTTCATATTTTTGAGGGGGTTGTGAATGGGAACAATCACTACAAAAAGTTTTATGTCATAAAATGTATTGCATGTTCTTGTCACATTATCGATGATTCCGCGGTAGAATAGGTCTTAAGCAACTCATGCTTGCCGTAAAAGGTGACTATGCTTGTCGTAAAAGGCGACAAACGGGATCGGATGGTCAGGCTCGCTGACTTGGTTGATGCATGTCATGGATCCCAAATGCGTGGATTGATCCTCATGAAATCAATCACTGGAGTGTCTGGTCCAGACTCGATTATTGACAGACCGCCGTCATACAGTTGGAACATTGCTGAGTGCGGCATTAAACAACCAACCAACCAACCAACCATTATGGATGAAATACTACCGAAGTGACTTTACCTCACTCCATCGGTACTCTTTATAGCACAGGACGAGTCTTTACCCTCATGGCCACATGTTAATATATACTCTTTACAAAAGTAGAGTATACTCGGAGAGAACTGAAAATTTATAACATTGTAAGAGTGAGTGAGTTGGGTTTCACGCCGCTTTTAACAGTATTACAGTTATATCACGGCGTCAGCTTAATGTGGGAAGAAAGCCCGAATTGATTCAGGTCCCAGACGTTTACCACTTCTGAGAAACCCACGAGCACTGGTATGGTGCTGACAAACCTAGGAACATATTCGGGGCGAACCGGGATTCGAACCTATAATCATAGGTTTCTGGCGTGCCCAAGGGACGCAACTCTGCACAGCGAATCGTTAGTCCTCTACAGTTATGCAGAACATATTTTCATGTTAATGTTTACATCAACTTTTTAACCTGTTGACTATATATCAAGGTGATACCGTACCATGGAACTAACTTCGATTTGTTTTACATTGAATATGTGATACTTGCCTTCTATGTACACAGTAAACAGCCAAAGTGTCAATCAATCTAAAGTCCTACCAATGACATGATCATAGCAACATACAGTTGGTTGATTTGTTGTTTAACGCCGCACTCAGCAATATCAGGTGATCTGTAAAAAATCGAGTCTGCACCAGACAATTCAGTGATTGATATCATGAGCATCGATCCACACAATTGGGATCGATGACATGCATCAACCAAGCCAGCGAGCTTGACCACTCGATCCCGTTAGTCGCCTCCTACTACAAGCATAGTCGCCTGTTACGGCAAGCATAGGGTGCTGAATACCTATTCTACCCCTGATCTTCACGGGTCTAGCAACAGACTGAACATGACATAAACATTTACCTGCGTACATCAGTACAAGGGAGATGAAGACGTACATCATTTTCCTACGGTTACACTGCTCGAAACTCACTTGTTGCACCGCTTCTTATTTCGGTTATTCTGTTGTGCTCAGCCCTTAATATATACACGCTACAACTATCTTAAGATCAGCGATCCAAGAACATTGTCTTTTGATCATTTGTGCTGTCGTAATTCGGGTGTTGCATGTAAATGACATATTGTAGAACTGATTATAATAAGCTAGTGCAACTACAAAGTGTATTGATGAGGCTGTCACATAGAGTACATTAATCGACTCAGGGTCGCCCTAGACAAACACAGGTCTTATACCCTTATATAAAATGGTGTCAACGTGCATGTTCCTATGAACATGTTCATGCGCGAGGCATTTGTTGTTTTGGTTAAAGGCAGGCTGTGGTATGAAAAAGTGTTCTGTAATAATATTAATGTCATTGGATAAACATTAATGTCATGCAGTCTTATTATCCCGTGGTTCTAGCATACATATATTACTTATGTTATAAAACGTATGGTGTTTGTTTTTAAACACACATAAATCTAACATTGTTAATGTAAAACTTAACGTTTTTGATAACTTAGAGAATAATCAAAATATGTTCAATCGAAATAACTTAGTGAAATTAAAGGTAATGTAAAAGGTTTGCAAACACATAGACACAATGTTCATATTGGTGAAGCTTTATATCATGTTATCGATATGCTAAAATGTTTTACACTTCTAATTAGAGTAACATACGGTTGAGCAAAACTCTTGTGCCCGAAATCTACTCTCAGTCTGGATAACCATGTAAGCAGTATGTGCAAGACAGCTTACTTTCACATCAGGAACATCAGACAGATAGCAAGATACGTAGACACAGCATCAGTCAAGTGCCTAGTCCATGCATTTGTAACATCAAGACTTGACTATTGTAATAGTCTTCTGTATGGTATCCAGCAGCAGCATCTGGATAGACTACAGCGTGTGCAAAACACTGCTGCCAGACTCATCACACGGAAGTCAATGCGTGAACACATTACACCCGTCCTGAAAGAGCTGCACTGGCTACTTGTGAGACACAGGATAGTGTTCAAGCTGATCATGTTTGTCTACAAATCGATCTATGGGCTATCCCCAGTATACCTCCAGGAACTCACTGCCCTTTACCAACCTGGCCGAACACTGAGATCTGGAAAAGCGTGCTGAGATATGCATTGTCAATGCGTGTGCTGTGTGTAAAAGCGAGTTGCTTCCCTTTGACCAGCAGAGTCAATTCATCTTGACACAGACATGGCAGTTGCATATGACAAAATATATTTTTATAACATGTCCATTTTAATGATAATAGAAATACTTAATTCACACGACGTCGTATCATGATGAGGAACAACATTCAAAACGACTGTTCAACGATTGTTGGACGAGAGCGTATTTTGATTAAAGGGCAGTCGTACATCCTTCACCGTGTGGCACAACAAACGTCCACGTCACGATACGAACAGTGAGATCTGGTCATACCCGTTTGTTACCTCCTGTTGCATAACAACCATAGTCAGCGGTCATTGTGACCAGCAGATTCTCACACTCATAATATTCTCCACGTTTACCCTCAGAATTAAGGGCGGTGGGGTAGCCAAGTGGATAAAGCGTTCCCTCGTCACACCGAAGGCCCCGGTTCTATTCCCCACGTTGGTACCATGTGTGAAGCCCATCAAAATTGTGTTACCATCGTTTGTTCGGTGATCGCAGTTGTGTTCGGTATAAACGGTGTTTCTTAGTACCTGACTTCGACATATCCGTATGAAGAAACTCATCCTCCGTTCAACGAAACACGTTCGTAGGATCTGAAGACAAAGAATCCAGAGCATGGTAAAACCGGATTTATTCGATGTCAATTAAACGTAAGCCACGTCGCCATCACCATTGCAACGAATATAGGTAATAACTCTAAACATGTTACAGCCCATCCTCGTTATCAAGTTTTCTATAGGTGATAACCCCGACAAGTTACATCCCACCCTCTGAAATCCAGTTTGTTATAGGAAATATCATTTAAAATGTTACATCCCATCCTTGATAATCCAGTATGTTAAACGTAATATCCCTTACCTGTGGCACTTGTTGTTACCCTGCCTGGCGCTCGGCATTAAGGAGCTAAAACAAGGACTGTTCGGCCCAGAGTCAATACTGTGCCTGAGTGGCTTATTCTACATTGATACAAGCAGCATAACAAGCCTCACCTCACCTCACCTCACCTCACCTCACCTCACCCCACCTCATTTCACCTCAAATGTGAGTGTTTAACTCGCTACAACAGAGTGAGTGAATGGGTTAGGTTTAACGCCGCTTTTAACAGTATTCCAGTTATATCACGGCGTGTCAGCTTAATGTGGGAGGAAAGCCCGATGTGATGCAGGTCTCAGACGTTTACCACTTCGATGAAACCCACGAGCACGGGTATGGTGCTGACAAACCTAGAAACGTAACATAAATCAGGATTCGAACCCACAATCATAGGTTTCTGGCGTGCCCAAGGGACGCAACCCTGCACAGCGAATCGCGGCGCCTTAGACGACTGGGCCACCCGTGCCCCCCATGTACAAGACAGTAATTGGGCTACAATCACATACAGACAACAAGGAAATATTGACATTGACATTTACCCGAGAACCGACCACTAACGACCTTGACCTGACGCGACCCATTTTCCGTCGATAGAGAGATTCATGTTGGCTATCGCGGCTGCCGAATTCATCGTCCCTCGACTTGTTACCAGCTTGACACACTGTCGCTTGGCTTCTAAAATGACAGGTAAATAACACATTGTGTTTGTTGTTAGATGCCATGATGACACAACGTCGTGAGGAAATGTTATCGACATATACATGCATGATATAAATAGGAGACACGTGACTACAAAATATGTCGTGTTCTTTACACACGCGGGATCGCCATATAGGAACACTTGTTTGATGCAGCAGTGACTTGACTTGAATATGTTCATTTTATCTGCAGTTGATCTTGGTCATGATAATATTCAGTATATTGTTTTGGGAATTATTGTTGGACTTGCTGAACGGCCATCATAGTGTTGGGACGCTAGCTGTAATATTTGCACCCAGGTAACGATTATTCAGTTAACGAGTGTTTAAATGTTAAAAAATGTAAATCATTGACACGTGTCAAGACTGAGATGGTGAGGTGGGAATATAAGTGTGTCATGATATATGCATTGTAAATGCTTGCGTTGTATGCAATAGCGAGTTGCCTCCCTTTGACCAGTAGAGTCAATTTGTCTGATTGTTTCATGTGATATGATGTGGGGACGGGGTTGGGAGGGGATGAACACACACACACACACATTTACACACACATACATATACACACACACATACAGCACACACATACACGTACACATACATATTCACACACATACACACACTCACACATATACACACATCCACAATATACAATACACAGAAACACACATATGTACACACATACACACACTCACACACACATTCATACACACATATACACACACTCACACATACATACACAGCACACATACATGCACATACACAGACATATATACACACACCCCGCACAAATACACACACATGCACACCCATTTACGCACACACACACTCACACACATACATGCACACACACTCATATGTACATACACACATACATACTCAAACACAGCACGCATTTACCTCCACACACACACACATACATATGCGCACATATACTCACCCACACACTTATACACAGCACACACATACATACACACTCACACACACATACATACACACATATGCACCTATTTTATCACGTCACAGTGTTAACCTGCGCCAGTCTATCAACCAGGTGAATTGCTAGGGCAGTGTGAAATATCGACTTTGACCATATGATATCAGTGGCATTGTGTTGTATATTTTAAAACATGTCAATTTTACAGACAACGGAAATAATTAATTCACACGTATCATGATGAAGAGCAAAATACAAAACGAAAATTTAACGTTCGATTGTTGGACGAGTGACTATGTTGATTTAATGGCTGTCGTAAATGATTCATGGTGTGGCACAACAAGTGTCCACGTCACGATAAGGACAGTGAGAGCCGGTCATCCCCGTTGGTTACCTCCATGGTTAGCAGCAATTGTGACCAGCAGAACCTCACTGTGACCAGCAGAACCTCACTGTGACCAGCAGAACCTCACTGTGACCAGCAGAACCTCACTGTGACCAGCAGAACCTCACTGTGACCAGCAGAACCTCACTGTGACCAGCAGAACCTCACTGTGACCAGCAGAACCTCACTGTCACAACATACTCCATGTTTACCCTTAGAATTTCTTATTACAAATTACACTAGAATAAAGCTTCTAATAAATTCACTTGTTGTGTTTCGCCTTTTTCAGCTCCGACTGCTCTTCACGACGATATCAAACCCCTGGCGTGGTTGTTGGGGAGATGGAAGGGGGACAACGGCGTCGGTGAATTCCCCACCATCAAGGACTTTAACTACGGCGAGGAGTTGTATTTCTACCACACTGGGCAGCACTACATACACTTCCAGTAAGATCAAAACCACGTTGAAAGTAAACCCAATCTAAATAATGATATGCGGAAACCTAAATAGCTGGTCGCACACACCTGCATATTGTGAAGGGTTTGGTAAGGCAGAGGTGCAAGCGTGCGTCAGGTTCGCTTCCACTGATGGCGACTCGTAGCAGTTGGCAGATACGTGAGGCTCAATATTGCTGTAATTACATACACCATGGTTATAATATTGATGTTATGACTCACAGAATGGTAAGTGTGTGATAATATTGTTGTTATGAGACAGATCTCAGTAATTATAGTGTTGTTATATGCCACATCATGGTAACAATGTTGTTTTTATTACTCACGTAATTGTAATAATATTGCTTTTTGGACACACATATTTTGGTAATAATATTTTTGTTATGACATACATCATGGTAAAGCAATTGTTGTTCTGACACACATCATGGTAAAAAAAAGTGTTGACGTGACACACATGGTTATACTTTATTTGTAATGACACATAGCATGGTATAATATTGTTGTTGTGACTCCCCTCGAGGTAACAATATTGTTGTTTCGATCCAAATCACAGAAAAAATGTTGTTATGACACACACCATCATAATAACAAAGCGATCTTTGAGCTGTAACTCCAACACTTTGATATAAATTTACGATAGGAAATTTAATTTCAAATATAAGTAACACTATAACATGAGCATGTTGCTCTATAACCGCTGGTTTGTCTAGCCTTGACTAGTTTATGTACAAACTGTTGTGATATAGCCCAAATATTGTGGACTCCAAATTTTAATCCACTCATACATTTTATTACGATTGGTTGTTCGGGAATCGTCATAACCGGTGTTTCTTGGTATCTGACTTCGACATATCCTTATTTAGAAATTGATGTTCCATTCCACAGAACTCGTTCCTGGGATGTGAACACAAAGAAACCCATGCATGGTGAAACCGGGTTTATTCGACGGCAAGCAGACACAAACCACGTCGCCATCACAATAGCAACGAATATAGGTAATACTTAACGCGTAACATGTTGCATCCCATCCTCGACAATCCAGAGTGTTATAGGTAATATATCCCACCCTCGATAATCCAGTGTATTGTACATGTAAGTTATATGATCATATGTTACATCCGGGTTAGTATAGGTCTTCAGCAACCCACGCTTGTCGTAAAAGGCGACTACCGGGGTCGGGAGGTCAGACTCGCTGACTTTGTTTATGCATGTCACCGTATCCCTATTGCTAAGATCGATTCTCATGATCAATCACTGGATTGTCATGTCAAGACTCGATTATTTACAGTCCGCTGCCATATAGCTAGAGTAATGCGGCGTTAAACAACATGCAAACTAACAAACAAACAACATCCCATTCTCGATAATCTCGACTACAAGGGAGAAAACGCACAACTTCTTGGTGCCGCTATAAACATAGCTTGCAATTCCAGGTTTCAGTGAACTTGAAGAAGGGGAGGTAAATGGTGAGGAGCTGAATACAGAGTCTCGAACTGTAGCGGGCATGAGCTTTTTCCGGTTGACGCCAGCGACCAAGGTGAGCTGTGATGATGATGTCACTAGGCTGTGGTCAATTGGCAGCTCATTAAGAGCCTTTTGCATGCCTGCTCAAGTGTTACCTCGCATATCAATGGAGGAGAAAATGATTACCCTAAATAATTAGAGACAATGACCGAGTTTCATAATGGTATGGTCGGTAGGATACCGTAGTGGTAAAAACGTCGCCCATCACGCTGACTTTCCGGGTGCGCTTCCCTACATAACTACAATGTGTGCGTCCGTGCATGGGTACAATGTGAAACCCATTCTGGTGTCGCTGTGATACGATGGGAATATTGTTCAAGGGCAACAGGACCGCCTCCGTGGTCTAGTTGATGGGGCGTCTGCCCGGAGAGCGAAAGGTCGTGGGATCGATCCCCTCCCGCATCATACCAAAATATGTTTAAATATGGCGCTCGGCATTAAGGGGATAAAACAAGGTCTGGACGGCTCGGAGTCCTTTTTACTGTCTGAGTGGGGTATTCATGTTGAACCTGGACATGGTTTCTCAGTTGGCTAGCACCGTAAAATCGGCAATGTACACGTACAAGCACACACACACACACTCACACACACACACACACACACACACACACACACACACACACACACACACACACACATGGACATGTGCGTGGCTAAATAAGTGCAACAATCCCCATTTAATGTGGCAGCTTGCGATCGATTCCATAGATGCACCAACCGAATATGATTGTTTTGTTGGCGTGACGTCACACGTGGACGACCCGCTCGTGGCAAGTCTGAAGTGTTGCCCCGCTGCAGATAACGTCTCCAAAGAGATAATATTATGTTTGCCCCGCGCCATTCCTGTTCGCAGAATACCCATGACGCGTAGACGTTAATTTTCAAAAAGTCGTGTCATTGCGTAAACGTTATTTAGGTTAAACAAAAGAGTCTTAATGATCACCTAATAGCTGAACATTCATTGAATGCTGTTCACATGTACAAAACACGTGTTTGAGTATCATGCTCTCAACAAAAACGGAAACATCCAAATTGTGCACTGTGCAATAACATGCACGTGCAAACTGTGAATCACGACCTTAAAGACCTTATATATTGAAAGATGCATTATGTAATTTAAAAATACATTTAATTTAATATGAAGCACAGTGAACTATTTCCGTCAGTATATATCATCCAGAACTAGCGAATTCTGGAAAGAATGAATGAGTGAGTGAGTGAGTTTGGTTTTACGCCGCTTTTAGCAATATTCCAGCAATATCACGGCGGGGGACACCAGAAATGGGCTTCACACATTGTACCCATGTCGGGAATCGAACCCGGGTCTTCGGCGTGACGAGCGAACGCTTTAACCACTAGGCTACCCGACCGCCCCCTGGAAAGAATGAATGGTATTTGCCGTGTTGGACACACTTACTTTTATTGGATGGAAAGAATCCACCTCAGTGCATTCCTTGGGTTTGCGGACTTTACGCATGTCCGAGAATGCGTTCAAAATGTTGTCATATCTAAAGCGAACTATTAATAACAGTTTCTAACCAATTTCTTTCAGCACAGAAATCAATATCTATGAATGTGATATTTGACGGGGACTTAAATGATTTTCAACATCCCTTTTGTTTTCTTTGTCAACGTATGATTTCTCGCCGTGAATAATCAGTAGTAATCACTAGCTCTTTCGTTTCAGATTATTAGTGTTGTTCTACAAGTATTTCAAATATCTTGAAATGCAGGTGACATTCTTGATCATGTCCTTATTTGATATACTGGATCATATGCTAAAATCACGTACTGGATCATGTTCTTATGTGACATTCTGGATCATGTCCTCACGTGATATACTGGATCACATTCATATATCACGTAATGGATCATGTATTTATGTGACATTCTGGATCATGTCCTCACGTGACATACTGGATCACATTCATATATCATGTAATGGATCATGTCCTTATTTGACATACTGGAGCATGCCCTCACGTGACGTATTGGATCATGTCCTCATGTGACATACTGGATCACATTCATATATCATGTAATGGATCGTGTCCTTATTTGACATACTGGATCATGCCCTCACGTGACGTATTGGATCATGTCCTTATGTGACATTCGGAATCATGTCCTCATGTGACATACTGGATCATGTCTTTACGTGACATACTGGATCATGTCCTCATGTGACATACTGGATCATGATCATATCCTCATGTGACATACTGGATCATGATCATATCCTCATGTGACATACTGGATCATGTCATTATGTGACAAACTGAATTATGTCTTTATGTGACATACTGGATCATGTCGTTATGTGACATACTGGATCATGTCCTCATGTGACATACTGGATCATGTCCTCATGTGACATACTGGATCAGGTCGTTATGTGACAAGCTGAATCATGTCTTTATGTGACATACGGGTTCATATCCTCAGGTGACATACTGGATCACATACTTATATCAAGTAATTAAGCATGGTCTAATGTGACATACTGGATCGTGTCTTTACGTGACATACTGGATCATGTCCTCATGTGACCTACTGGATCATGATCATATCCTCATGTGACATACCGGATCATGTCGTTATGTGATAAACTGGATCATGTCGTTATGTGACATACTGGATCACATACTTATATCACGCAATAAAGCATGTCCTAATGTTACATACTGGATCATGTCGTTATATGACATACTGGATCATGTCTTTACGTGACATACTTGGTCATGTCGTTATGTGACAAGCTGAATCATGTCTTTATGTGACATACGGGATCATGTCGTTATGTGACACACTGGATCACATACTTATATCAAGTAATGAAGCATGTCCTAATGTGACATACTGGATCATGTCCTTATGTGACAAACTGGATCACGCCATTATGTGACATACTGGATCATGATCATATCCCCATGTGACATACTGGATCATGATCATATCCTCATGTGACATACTGGTGTCCGCCGCCGTGATATTGCTGGAATATTGGTAAAAGCGGCGTAAAACCATACTCAGTGAGTCTAAAAATATTTCGTCATCAAAGTATTAAAAAAATCATTCATCTCACGCGCAAAAAAAATATCACATGACAACAAAGTGAGAAACTAGTTGACTTAAGTATCTCATCAAGTCTGTCCTTGTATTTATTCATAGCTCTGGGAACATAATACTGATTAAATCCCATGTGATAGTCATTTGCCTACATAAAATATACAACCGACTCTATCTGTATGTACGTTGGTGAACTAGCTAGTCTCTCGGGCAGCAATTCAAATCGACACTCCCGTGTGTAATTTAAGACTGAATGTCAATGCTTTAGCTTGTCACGTTTGATATGTGTATGAAGCAGAACAAACGTCTTGAATACAGTAACACCATTCCAGTAGGGACACAGTTAAAGTATCATGTGTTATGTGGCAATACAGGTTAATAGCAGCTGGTACGTCTATGCAAATACTTGGAGCAAAGGATAGTATATAGCCGTTTGCTACCGATTTATTTGTCGCAATCCATGGTGTGATATCAGCTTGTGTAGTGTTTATTTGTCGCAATCCATGGTGTGATATCAGCTTGTTGAGTGTTTATTTGTCGCAATCCATGGTGTGATATCAGCTTGTGTAGTGTTTATTTGTCGCAATCCATGGTGTGATATCAGCTTGTGTAGTGTTTATTTGTCGCAATCCATGTTGTGATATCAGCTTGTGTAGTGTTTATTTGTCGCAATCCATGGTGTGATATAAGCTTGTTTAGTGTTTATTTGTCGCAATCCATGGTGTGATATCAGCTTGTGTAGTGTTTATTTGTCGCAATCCATGGTGTGATATCAGCTTGTGTAGTGTTTATTTGTCGCAATCCATGTTGTGATATCAGCTTGTGAAGTGTTTATTTGTCGCAATCCATGGTGTGATATCAGCTTGTGTAGTGTTTATTTGTCGCAATCCATGGTGTGATATCAGCTTGTGTAGTGTTTATTTGTCGCAATCCATGTTGTGATATCAGCTTGTGTAGTGTTTATTTGTCGCAATCCATGGTGTGATATCAGCTTGTGTAGTGTTTATTTGTCGCAATCCATGGTGTGATATCAGCTTGTGTAGTGTTTATTTGTCGCAATCCATGGTGTGATATCAGCTTGTGTAGTGTTTATTTGTCGCAATCCATGTTGTGACATCAGCTTGTTTAGTGTTTATTTGTCGCAATCCATGGTGTGATATCAGCTTGTGTAGTGTTTATTTGTCGCAATCCATGTTGTGATATCAGCTTGTGTAGTGTTTATTTGTCGCAATCCATGGTGTGATATATCAGCTTGTGTAGTGTTTATTTGTCGCAATCCATGGTGTGATATCAGCTTGTGAAGTGTTTATTTGTCGCAATCCATGGTGTGATATCAGCTTGTGTAGTGTTTATTTGTCGCAATCCATGTTGTGATATCAGCTTGTTTAGTGTTTATTTGTCGCAATCCATGGTGTGATATCAGCTTGTGTAGTGTTTATTTGTCGCAATCCATGGTGTGATATCAGCTTGTGTAGTGTTTATTTGTCGCAATCCATGTTGTGATATCAGCTTGTGTAGTGTTTATTTGTCGCAATCCATGGTGTGATATAAGCTTGTTTAGTGTTTATTTGTCGCAATCCATGTTGTGATATCAGCTTGTGTAGTGTTTATTTGTCGCAATCCATGGTGTGATATCAGCTTGTGTAGTGTTTATTTGTCGCAATCCATGGTGTGATATCAGCTTGTGTAGTGTTTATTTGTCGCAATCCATGGTGTGATATCAGCTTGTGTAGTGTTTATTTGTCGCAATCCATGGTGTGATATCAGCTTGTGTAGTGTTTATTTGTCGCAATCCATGTTGTGATATCAGCTTGTGAAGTGTTTATTTGTCGCAATCCATGGTGTGATATCAGCTTGTGTAGTGTTTATTTGTCGCAATCCATGGTGTGATATCAGCTTGTTGAGTGTTTATTTGTCGCAATCCATGTTGTGATATCAGCTTGTGTAGTGTATATTTGTCGCAATCAATGTTGTGATATCAGCTTGTGTAGTGTTTATTTGTCGCAATCCATGGTGTGATATCAGCTTGTGAAGTGTTTATTTGTCGCAATCCATGTTGTGATATCAGCTTGTTTAGTGTTCATTTGTCGCAATCCATGGTGTGATATCAATGTAGACGGTATTGGTATTGGTAGCAGTTGTTGTGGTAGAGGCAGTTACAGTGATGGTGGTGGTAGTGGTGGTAATGGTGGTGGTAGTGGTGGTAGTGGTAGTGGTAGTGGTAGTGACAGTAAATGTGGCAGCAATACCATCTCCTGTCTTCTGTGTTCCAGATCAAACGTCTCATACGACGTGACGGGGACAGCCTGGAGCAGACGTTGTGGATGGCGACGGAGAAGACGCCCCTGACGCAGCACCTTAAAATCCGCTACTCCAGGATACAGGAGGATGCAGCTGAACTGAAGAGCGTCCTGTGATCACAGTTCAGATTCCTCGACCTGAGTCACACCGACAAAAGCAGATTGAAATAATGTGATGGCATAGGTTGTCTACGTGTTGCAGGTTGATTAGATTTATTGTGAGAACCAAAGTAAGGTCGCGAGGAAATATGGCAGTCATGAAATTGGATGTCACTTTGAATGTTTACTCAGATTTTCATTCCTTTACATTTATTTGTAAACATTGATTGGCATGAGTATGTTTTGTGTCAAATTACAGGGTAATTACAAACTTTTCATATAATACCGAACTGATTTAAAAAAATAATTTGTTCACAGAATTCAGAATCGATTTAGAGACTGTCAAATTGTCCATGGAATTCTGAACCGATGGTCTGAAAGTAATATCGCTGATAGAGAAGACGCCCTTGGCGCAGCACCTCAGTCTCTGCTACTCCAGGCGGATGCAGCTGAACTGAAGGGCGTCCTGTGACCTACCCACAATCACAGACCAGACTCCTGGCCTTGCACATATAAGCTGAATCAAACAATGTCAGGGCGTGAAACCTTTACGTCAAGAAGATGGATTGGATGAGATGCATGAACCAACATTGAGTCGCGTAGAAATATGGTTGTCATGAATGGGTATGTCACTGTGATTTCATTAGTATTTTTGAAACTGATCCATGTATTAACAAGAAGGTGTAGTGTATGGTTTACTTTTTCATCACGATTGTGAACAGACACGATGGCACGGCGTGAACCGCAGTGAGTGTACCAACCACTCCCTAACCAGTATATTATTAATGGTAGCAGGTTCAACTGTCTATTGGTGTGACTGTTATCACGTTTCATGTCATGCATATCTGCCTTCCGCACATCGAGGTCAATTGCTAACAACCTTACTTATATCATTACGAATTCTACGTCATCTTTCACTGACGAAATGTCAGCAGCTGACTGTATCTGATTCTCCTGTAGATCTGAAATGGTAAACATCACAGTAACCCTGAACTATTCTTTGGTGGGACTCCTATATAAAATAAAGGAGAGGACAAATAAGGCATCGTATTTTTTTATAATCACTTGACCTTTCTGCCACGCATTTATTATTTCAAGAATTAGTGCCTGGAGGCCCTTGACTTATTTAAAGTCGGAAAGATAATAAGAAATATCTCCTCAAACTGTTTGAACTGGAGTATGGCTCTATCACCTATGGTGGGGCCTGTAAGTAAAATTTACAAAACCTAGCTGCCATTCATCATCGGTGTCTTGTTGTGTTTAGAACATCTCCTATTGATAAAATGTATGTGAAGGTTGTTAATATATATATATATTATGTAGACTGGCATACATGTACTGTCCGCGAAAGAAAGGTCTGTATAATAAAACATCTATTAGATAAAAAAATCGTGGTTGGTTGGTTTGTTGTTTAACGCCGCACTCATCAATATTCCAGCTATATGACGGCGGTCTCTAATAAGTCTGGCCCAGACAATCCAGTGATTGATATCATAAGCATCGATCCACGCATTTGGGATCGATGACATGCATCAACCAAGTCAGCGAGCCTGACCACCCGATCCCATTAGTCGCCTCTTACGAAAAGCATAGTCACCTTTTACGGCAAGTATGGGTTGCTGAAGACCTATTTTACCCCGTATCTTCACTTATATAAGGATACCCTCGAGTATGAAGGAAAGCTTCTTTATTTCAGAGCTGAGAAGGGGGTGAAAATGGAATGAATAGGATTGATGTATATGATACATGCTATTGAAGGATTTTTACATAAAAACGGAGATATAAACATGGCGATTTATTGAGAACAAATGATTACCTACTACATGTTTGTTTTATTACATTCCTCAATTATAAAACAAGAAAGTAGTGAAATCTCGTAAAGGGGAACATAAAAAATATATCGAGTGATCAGTCGGATGGGGTTAGGCTGCTACAGCTGGAACAGGGATGGGGTTAGGCTGCTACAGCTGAAACAGGGATGGGGTTAGGCTGCTACAGCTGGAACAGGGATGGGGTTAGGCTGCTACAGCTGGAACAGGGATGGGGTTAGGCTGCTACAGATGAAACAGGGATGGGGTTAGGCTGCTACAGCTGGAACAGGGATGGGGTTAGGCTGCTACAGCTAGAACATAGATGGGGTTAGGCTGCTACAGCTGGAACAGGGATGGGATTAGGCTGCTACAGCTGAAACAGGGATGGGGTTAGGCTGCTACAGCTGAAACAGGGATGGGGTTAGGCTGCTACAGATGAAACAGGGATGGGGTTAGGCTGCTACAGCTGGAACAGAGATGGGGTTAGGCTGCTACAGCTGGAACAGGGATGGGATTAGGCTGCTACAGCTGGAACAGGGATGGGGTTAGGCTGCTACAGCTGGAACAGAGATGGGGTTAGGCTGCTACAGCTGGAACAGGGATGGGATTAGGCTGCTACAGCTGGAACAGGGATGGGGTTAGGCTGCTACAGCTGAAACAGGGATGGGGTTAGGTTGCTACAGCTGGAACAGGGATGGGATTAGGCTGCTACAGCTGGAACAGGGATGGGATTAGGCTGCTACAGCTGGAACAGAGATGGGGTTAGGCTGCTACAGCTGGAACAGGGATGGGATTAGGCTGCTACAGCTGGAACAGGGATGGGGTTAGGCTGCTACAGCTGAAACAGGGATGGGGTTAGGTTGCTACAGCTGGAACAGGGATGGGATTAGGCTGCTACAGCTGGAACAGGGATGGGGTTAGGCTGCTACAGCTGAAACAGGGATAGGGTTAGGCTGCTACAGCTGGAACAGGGATGGGGTTAGGCTGCTACAGCTGAAACAGAGATGGGGTTAGGCTGCTACAGCTGAAACAGAGATGGGTTAGGCTGCTACAGCTGGAACAGGGATGGGGTTAGGCTGCTACAGCTGGAACAGGGATGGGGTTAGGCTGCTAAAGCTGGAAAAGGGATTGGGTTAGGCTGCTACAGCTGAAACAGGGATGGGATTAGGCTGCCACAGCTGAAATAGGGATGGAGTAAGGCTGCTACAGCTGAAATAGGGATGGGGTTAGGCTGCTACAGCTTGAACAGGGATTGGGTAAGGCTGCTACAGCTGAAACAGGGATGGGGTTAGGCTGCTACAGCTGAACCAGGGATGGGGTTAGGCTGCTACAGCTGAACCAGGGATCGGGTTAGGCTGCTACAGCTGAACCAGGGATGGGGTAAGGGGTACATATGTTTTAAAAAGATTTTTACATAACAACGGGGACATAAACATATTGATGTTGAGAAAAAAGATAACCTTGTTTCGTTTTCTTTCCGTTCTCATTCATGAAATAAGAACGAAGCAAAACCTCGAGAAAGGGGAACATCAACAATATAGAGAGTTATCCGTAATCAAGACAAGGTAGCGTAGCCTTTTCTTGACAGATATAGGGTCAATTGTGCACTTTGAGATAAAAGCACGAAACTTGTCACAATTGTAGGTAATGACATTCCAAATAATATCAAATATGACCATTGTGGAATGTATTTACCCAACACTAGCGTTTTCAAAACAGATGATTTCTAGATTTAGGCAATCTAAGAATGAAAAAATGAAAAAATCATTTCTCTTTTCTTTGGAATGTCTTAAAGACATATTTCATTACGTCCCATCAACTGTGCCAATATTGTTTACTCATATTGTGAACACAATGAAAACAACATAATATTAAAAGAACAACATTTGTATTTATTGTTGTAAGTATGCTGTAAATGGTTAATGTTTCGGTTGGCTAGGGACAATTAAATGTGATCACATGTGGAGTACTAATTAATTGCGCTACAAAACACATTGTTGAGTGCCGATATTAATGTAGATGTCATATATTCATCATAACACAATCTCCTCTGCGGTTTGTGTGATCCGGACCTAGCGGGTCGATCATAACACAATATGACCAAATGATTTGTGTCATCCCGACATCATGAGTAAAACCAACTTGCTCTCTGACAGATTACAATGAAATTATTATAAGCAGAAGAATATTTTGCAGTTGTACACAGCAGACGCTTTTTACGTCAAATGGAATTTGTTTCGGCGGATAATCGATTCTCCGGCCTGGTTTTATATATAGATATTTAGTGTTTCGGTCAAAAGATATGCCAACGTATGCTTTAGCTGAGCAGATTAGAGACTTCTTATGTAAGGATCGTTTTTATCTTGATACAAGCTTCAGAATTTGCATGAGTGGTCTGCTTTAAAATGTGCATAAATAGTCTCCTTGGGTTACTAGGGTCCGTGACGATCCGGGTTAGAATTGATCTTCAGCAACCCATGCTTGTTGTAAGAAGCGACAATGAACGTCGTAAGCGGTGACTAACGGGATCGGATGTTCACTCTGATTGGTTGACGCAAGTCATCGTATCCCATGTTGCGTGGATCGATGCTCATGATGCCAGTCACTGGATTGTCTCGTTCAGACTTGATTATTCACAGACAGCCGCCACATAGCTTGAATATTTCTGAGTGCGCCGAACCCTCTTGGTGCCTCGGGACCATACATGGTCCCTCACTTTTCACACCCTCATAGTGCAACAGGGACAATATATGATCCCTCTCTTTACACCCTCATACTGCCACTGGACCATGTATGGTCCCTCACTTTTCACACCCTCATAGTGCCACTGGACCATGTATGGTCCCTCACTTTTCACACCTTCATAGTGCCACTGTATCATGTATGGTCCCTCACTTTTCACACCCTCATCGTGCCACTGGACCATGTATGGTCCCTCACTTTTCACACCCTCATCGTGCCACTGGACCATGTATGGTCCCTCACCTTTCACACCCTCATAGTGCCACTGGACCATGTATGGTCCCTCACTTTTCACACCCTCATCCTGCCACTGGACCATGTATGGTCCCTCACTTTTCACACCCTCATCGTGCCACTGGACCATGTATGGTCCCTCACTTTTCACACCCTCATCGTGCCACTGGACCATGTATGGTCCCTCACTTTTCACACCCTCATACTGCCACTGGACCATGTCTGGTCCCTCACTTTTCACATCCTCATCGTGCCACTGGACCATGTATGGTCCCTCACTCTTCACACCCTCATAGTGCCACTGGACCATGTATGGTCCCTCACTTTTCACACCCTCATCGTGCCACTGGGCCCATGTATGGTCCCTCTCTTTTCACATCCTCATACTGCCATTGGACCATGTATGGTACCTCACTTTTCACACCCTCATAGTGCCACTGGACCATGTATGGTCCCTCACTTTTCACACCCTCATAGTGCCACTGGGCCATGTATGGTCCCTCACTTTTCACACCCTCATCGTGCCACTGGACCATGTATGGTCCCTCACTTTTCACACCCTCATAGTGCCACTGGGCCATATATGGTCCCTAACTTTTCACACCCTCATAGTGCCACTGGGCCATGTATGGTCAGTCACTTTTCACACCCTCATAGTGCCACTGGACCATGTATTGTCCCTCACTTTTCACACCCTCATAGTGCCATTGGACCATGTATGGTCCCTCACTTTTCACACCCTCATAGTGCCACTGGGCCATGTATGGTCCCTCATTTTCACACCTTCATAGTGCCACTTGGCCATGTATGGTCCCTCACTTTTCACACCCTCATAGTGCCACTGGGCCATGTATGGTCCCTCATTTTTCACACCCTCATAGTGCCACTTGGCCATGTATGGTCCCTCACTTTTCACACCCTCATAGTGCCACTGGGCCATGTATGGTCCCTCACTTTTCACACCCTCATACTGCCACTGGACCATGTATGGTCCCTCACTTTTCACACCCTCATAGTGCCACTGGGCCATGTATGGTCCCTCACTTTTTACACCCTCATAGTGCCACTGGGCCATGTATGGTCCCATGAAAATGTCCCTTTTCAACTGTAAATTAAGATGTTGAACACTGAGTGGGCAAAATCAAAATTATATCATCATCCTACTCATCTCGGCTTTAACATCGTGTAACCTATTTTATACAATGCTACGGATTGCGTAATATGTTGAGATTAATGAAGTGGTAACCGCGCTTCTCGACCTTTTTCTGCCATGTTGAACTTCATGCGAATGACGGCGATTTTTTTTTTATCATGCACCCATGTCACATACACGCAACTATTATAATATCAGAAAGCCAATTTGAATAAAAAAAATCTGAACAGACTGGTCAGAAAGATTTACTAGTCCCCACTGTACAGTTATTGGCGTAAGAGTACTTACGTTTAGTCCGCAGCGGAAGCTTTGGTTCTGGTATGTTGCATATGTTTATCGACTGTGAGTCATGGCGACTTAGCACGGCGCTAGAGACGAATCGCCAGGGCACGTTCGCATCATATCTGTGCCGCGATTTCTTGTCTACCGGTTGTCCTAATGTTCGCCCGTTCAGACAAATAACTGCTACTTTTTTCATATGAAAATACTTCGAGTCATGTGTGATTGCTCAAACTACCTGACTGTGTGAATGACTAGCCCTAACTGTTTCACATTTTGTCGCAAAAGGAGATTTCAAAAGTGTGGCCACGACATCTGACGTGAGTCGACGCCATATTCTTAACAAGTTGTGTCAAGGTCGGTTCCACATGTGGTAGCTCGGCCCCCGTTCCTGTCGATGGTACACGCGATACAAACATAATGCAACTACTGAAAACATCAACATAACTTCTAAAATGATGACAGCAATACCTTTTTGTATTTGGGTTAACCGCTTATGGATACGATGTGCTGTAAACTTCGATTTCGATTTGTTTATCCCTTCATTGAAACTGTGATAATGGCGCTATGATTCGTTTGCTGAAATAGGATTTCCGTGAGTCTAATGTACATGGTACATGCTGTGATTGTACACGATAATTGATAACCAATTGCGTATGCATATGTATCATCAAATACACATTACTGATCTCCTCAGCAAAGTGAAAATATTGAATATATCGTGAATATATATACACGACAGCTCGTATTTCCAACATGCTGCCATGGATATTAGATCTGATTAATATTTGATTTACAAATTATTGATGTACACTGTACTCTCGATTAACGTATGATAATCTATTGCAAGTCTTCAACTCTTATTTGATATGCTACCTGAATTGTCAGCAATGAGTAAAGTCATTAAGTCCTACGTAGGAGATTTTAAGTCCTTCGTAGGAGATAGTTATTCAAGTCCATACTAAGTCCTACGTAGGAGATAATAAGTCCTACGTACGAGGCAAAATAAAAACCACCGTGGCCCTACTACGCTTTCGTATTAAATAGATTTTTTTTTAGGTATATATTTGTCTTAGAGCAGTCCACAAATGTTCACAAATGAACCCACCAAAGTTAGAGGCAAAATTATCCATTATTGTGAGCGAGTCAGTTATCTTCACCCATGCCCCCAACACCCCAACCCCCAACCCCACCCCCCACCCACCACACCCACCAACCCACACCCCTCCTTACTTTTCTTACCAGGATTAAACAAAATAACTATCATCCGATTACCGTACCTGTAGCTGCAGTTGAAATCATTGAAAACGTTTTCATCGGCGGCAAATATATTAAACAAACCTATTTTCGGTCACTCATAAATAGGTCGCGATGTGATACCTGCATCGCTTCCTTGTGCAACCACGCGGATCGCTTATCACTTTATACTTCGCATTTTACGGGCTGTTGTTAATAGTTTATAGATACAATTTATTAAAAGCTTGAAACGTGATATTCCAATGTTCCAGCTTTATGACGGCGGTCTGGACTATATACAGTAATCAAGCCTGGACCAGACAATTGGACCAGCCTCGATCATGACTGGGTTGTCATCTTCAGCAGATACAGTAGTTGACCTCTAAATGTAACATTAGAATCTATCCTGGAACTCGCTGTTTGCTGCGTGTGTACTAGTCTACCGCGCATTTGTGCTTCGACAGGTTACATGTTCATAGGTTGAAACTCATGTTTGTTTGTTTGTTTGTTTGTTGTTTAACGCCGCACCCAGTAATATTCCAGCTATATGACGGCGGTCTGTAAATAATCAAGTCTGGACCAGACGATCCAGTCATTGACAACATGAGCATCGATCCACACAATTGGGATCGATGACATGCATCAACCAAGTCAGCCACCCTGACCACCCGATCCCGTTAGTCGCCTCTCACGACAAGCATAGTCGCCTTTTGCGGCAAGCATGGGTAGCTGAAGATCTATGGAGGAAGCAGCTGAACTGAAGAGCGTCCAGTGACCTACCAACAATCACAGTCCAAAATTCAGAAGTTTGGCCATGACAAATAAATTTGATATGTCGATGTGAATCTCTGCCCAATCTCTTATCTGCGTCAGATTTAATCAGCACGTGTATATGTTTTTTGTCAAGTCACGATCATCTCTTTGTTTTGTTCTTTCAGGCAAAGGTGTAATTTCAAGCTACCCATAGACTTCTGATCCGATTAAATTTAAATTGAAACTTTGTCGAATTCAGAATAGTTTCAGAGATACTCAAATTCTCAGCCGATATAATGAAAGTACAACTGTTCGCACCATATCGACCACGAAAGTCACATTTTTCATAAAATTCTTATCTGTTTTCAAGGTATGGTAACAGCATCTATTATTATCCCCCGCATCGAAGTGGAAGGGGGATATAGGAATGGGTGCTGTCCGTCCGTCCTTCCGTCACGTTTCGTTTCCGGAGTAGAAATGTAAGAAAATGAGAGATATCTTAACCAAACTTGACACATAGATAGGTCGAGTGGTGCCTGGTGCCTTTTGAAAGTTTGGGTTCTTGAAAGAAATATTTTTCGAGTTTCAATGGCAACGACTTCGACTGAAAGTGGAGGTAGTGCTTCTTTCCGGCGCAGATCTTGAAAACCGTACAGTATTTCTTCACCAAACTTGGCACATTGATAAGTCTAGTGGTAAACTGGTGCCTTTTGATAGTTTGGAATATTTTTAAAAAAATATTTTTCGATTTTCCAGGGCAGCGGCTTTGGCTTAGACTCAAATTGGCGGTAGTTTCCGGAGCAGATCTTGAAACCCATACACTATGTCTTGCTTTGCACACCACCGGACATGTCATATTGGCGGGGGATATGAGTATTTCATTCTTGTTTGATTTGTTGTTTGTACGTGGTATGTTTGATTTCAAACCAATTTATTTACCCATAAAGTGATTTAGTCATAACATGTACACTCCATGGGGATTCCGGCTTAGAATTAATCCTTATCAACCTATGCCTGTAGTAAGAGGCGATATAATGGATTGGGTGGTTTATTGTATGAAAGGCCATTGGCCAATATACAAGTGAGTTTCATAGACATACAGTTATATTAACAAATATTGTAGTATACGGAGTATCAAGACAACTGACGTAACACAAAAGCATGGTGAATGTATAAAGATACTTGAAGTTGAACGCTATACCTTTTGCTTGACAGCAGACGTTCAAAGTTATTAGTAGATATACATGAAAATGACAAGGCGGGTAGATATTTCATTCTTATTTTGTTATATACATATTAAACATAAAATGAAATTTCGTCTTCAGCACCAAGGTTACCGACGGGGCAAATTCTTAGTGACTTTTCAATATTTAAATATTTCTAAATTCACTATTAAATCACTATTCACTTTTAAATCATTCAGACCATGCCTAAAGCATATAAATGTATTGCAGTGGTGTTTGAAACTTAAATCTGAAAAGACACGAATCTGGTTCAAGGAGAGACTATATATTACGATATGTGTCGCATCTCGATCTTCCTGAAAGTGTAAAATGTCAATCCTGTTGGAACATATCTATAGCACGAGTACGAAATTGTTTTAAAAACATATTTATGTCACCAACAGATTGCGAGATCCATATGAATCAAAAGCCATAATTAAAAAGAGTTACGCGTTTTGGGGAAGCCCGTGTGTTCTTTCCAATATTATCAAGATATGCCAGCATATTATCAGCTTTCTTTGGCCAACGATGTTCAGGCATACATAATAACTTCAGCCAATAGCGTAGGCATCAAGTGTAAGATGTTATATATAGTTGGAACCTCCTACGTGCACCATAAACCATTTGCTGGATTCTTGACATAAGAGTTATATCATCCACAAACAGCAACATACAAAAATTCTTTAGAAAATAGTTGGACTCAATGTTTTCCAGAAAGTGAAATTTCATTGTATAGTTCATTGATGAAAAATGAAAACAGCATAGGGCTCAATACACATCCTTGACGCAGACCGATTGGACAGTCGAAAAAGTCAATCACAGCATCATCACACCGAACACATGATTTAACATTTTGATAAATTGATTTAAGTATTATATACATTTTGCCATCGAAGATGAGCTTCTGTAAACATTTTCATCATCGACGTTTATCCACAGAATCGAATGCCTTTTTTAAGTCCACAAAGGCAACATATAATTTACGTTTATGGTATGTGAGGTATTTTTCAATTACTGAATGCAGAGTAAAAATATGGTCAAATGTAGAATAGCCTTTCCTGAATCCAGCCTGCACGTCGGGTATCAGGTCCCGCATGTTCGACCATTGAATCAGTCTGTTATTGATACTACTGGTAAATACCTTACCTAAAATACAAGTTAGAGAAATACTCCGGTAGTTGCCAGGGTTATTCACATTTCCATGTTTCACCCATTCACCAACAGTCTAAATAACATAACGTCCTTGTGCATCTGGTTCAGTCTGTTTTTATATACAGGCCGAATTGACCTAAACGTTTTGCCCTGTTCTTTACAGTATATTGTATGGTTGGTTGGTCGATTGGTTGGTTCAGCGTCGGTCAGCAATATTGCAGCTACATTACGGCTGCCTGTAAATTATCGAGTTTCGACCAGACAATCCAGTTATTGTCATCAGGAGCACCGATCTACGCCAGTAGAAAAGGATGTCATGTATCAACCAGATTAACCAGCCTGACCACCCGATCCCATTAGTCGCCTCTTACTACAAGCATGGGTTCCTGTACTCCCCCGGGTGTTCACGAGGTCCTGTGTGTTGTATAACTGTATAATGTCACGAAACGTCTGCACGTACATATCCCAAAGATACTGCATATACCTATTATCGTTTAACATTATAATTTGATGTAAGAACACATTGCTACATTCAACCGTTTGAAGTGTTTTCAAGATTAGTGAAGCTTATCAGTCAACTGACAACATGACCCCACCAAAGTATGAGGCAAAATTGCCACTATAGAAGGTGTGTGATGATGATATCTCAACCCAAGCCTCCTCCCCCTTGTTGAGATGGTTGACGGCTACAGCGGAAGCATCAGCGATGTAAATATCCGAGTCTGTTTTCATGTACCCGCCTGCCATGTACACTCTCCCCGACTTCATGATGTAGACGTTCATGTTGGTGTTTGACTCGACTACTTCCAGCTTTGTCCAGAACATGTAGGTACCAGAGACCGGAGCTATGAATGTCCCTGTGGTGGTGTTATAGGCAGAGCCAGCGTTGTAGAGGAGTGTACTGAATGTCACGGTAGAGAAAGCAGGTGTTGTGTTTGATGGGCCCGAAACGTGGAATGCCACGTTTCTGGTCTTTGATGCTAAATAAAAACAAAAAGATCAAATATACAAACAGACATGATTCTGATTAAAGTGAGGGAAAATAGGTTATCATTCATTTATGTCATTGTGTTTGTTTGTGATGCTAAATATGACACCTTTGTTTGTTCTTACTTACGTCACGTGCGTTAACTGACATACGAATATGATTAATTCATAATTTTAAATAAAAACTACACATAACTGCGTGCCGAGCAGAATATTCATCTTACAAAAAACGATATGCATGGACCATTGGTCATTGGGATATTAGCTTGGTCAGTTTAAAATTTCACTCACCACGACGAACAACCTGATTGAGGTCCCCTCTAAAATACAGTGAGTGAGTGAGTATGGTGTTTCCAGCAATATCACGGCGGGGGACACCAGAAATGGGCTTCACACATTGTACCCATGTCGGGAAATGAACCCGGGTCCTCGGCGTGACAAGCGAACGCTTTAACCACTAGGCTACCCGACCGCCCCCTGAGATACACCTCGAACCAGGATAAAACCAAACGCACTTTGATCTTTGATGATGTATATTGTGTTAAATAATGGTTACATCATTTCAAAAATAGACTAGGCACGGTGGACGAACCTTTCGGCTAAGATTCCTCAATTCGTTTCGCAGAGTTGCGTCCCTTATGCGTGCCAGAAACCTATGACGGTTAGTTTCAATCCTGACCTTGAATCCTATTAGACCTGACATTGTTTCTATTCCATGGTTGGTATGTACTATGATATAGAGTGGTGTCACGCAAGGCAGTATTTTCTCAGTTTATCAAAAGTTTTGCATTGATTCAGTTGATGGAACTCTTTTCTGTATACATGATGTTATAAATGACGATAATAAGCACACAAAACAAGTACAGTTATATTTTGAGAAAATACATGAATGGTATCCTGAAAATGGCAAATTTGGCAAAGATCAACTGTATGTATCACTGTGAAAAATAAACTGACGGGCAAAAGAAACTATACCAAAGTATTTGTTATTTAAAAAAATCACATCAGCACTGAACTGGAGTTTTCATTGTCAAACAAAATCGCATGAACGCAGCTTCATCATTACTGAGTTTAAAAAATCCTGCTTCCTCCCGAATATGGACTGTATCGAGCTTTTTTCATTCAAAATCAGGACAAAATGGCTCGGAACGGTATAGAATCCGCCAATCTGTATGTTTTCCACCACAATCGTACCGACCACAACATCTGACATGCCGAGACTGACCGCACAAGAGCGAGAGAGGGCAATTGGGATGTTGCAGTTGGGAGCAGGCCATGCCCATGTTGCTCGCATCTTCAACTGCACCAGAACAACGATAACGAGGCTGCAGACACGACTCACACAAACAGGTCGTACAGATGACAGGCCAAGAAGTGGAAGACCCAGGGTCACGACCACCAATGAAGATCGGTACCTCCGCATCTTACATCTACGCAATCGTTTCGTCACTGTGACATCATCGGCAGCCACAGCCTTACATCATGTGGTCAGCAGAAGGACAGTTGCCAGGCGTCTTCGACAACACGGTATTCGGGCCTACCGGCCCTTCCGCGGGATGACCTTGTGCCGTCGTGACCGATGTAACCGCCTCCATTGGGCAAGAATGGTACAGCGGTGGCAAAACAGGAACTGGCAACGAACTCTATTCTCTGATGAGAGCAGGTTCCAGTTGTATCGAGCTGATGGCCGTGTGCGTGTGTATCGTCGGAGAGGAGAGAGAACAGCCCAATGTTGTGTTCAGTAGACCGTGCCATTCGGTGGTGGAAGCGTCATGGTCTGGGGTGGGATTTGCAGGGACCGAACAACAGACCTGGTTGTCTTTGACCGTAATTTAAATGCTCAAGTCTACATCGACCATGTATTGCGTCCTGTGGTGCTTCCCTTTCTCCAGAGGAATCCCAGAGTAATCTTCCAACAGGACAACGCTCGCCCCCACACCGCCAGGATCACCAGAGACTTCCTAACTGCAAATAATGTAAACCTTTTGCAATGGCCAGTAAGATCGCCTGACTGTACACCCATTGAGCACTTGTGGGACTATCTGGACAGACAAATAAGGGAAAGAAATCCCCCTCCTCCAAGTCGTCAAACGTTGATTCAGGCACTGTTGGAAGAATGGCGAGCAATCCCCAATGACGTCATCAGGGATCTTGTAAACTCCGTGCGGCGACGTGTCCAAGCCTGTATTCAGAGCAATGGAGGCCATACAAGATACTGACAGTAATGCATTTGTCAAAAAAAACTTACCTGTTATTGAAGTTCCTGTAAATGCCACCTTTGTGGAATTTGAATCAGAACATTGTCAGATAGATTTTCTTTCCAACTCGCAACACTATATTTTTGTGATATATTTGATAATGTTGTCAACACCAAATCAATGTTGGTATAGTTTCTTTTGCCCGTCAGTTTATAAACCTTACAAGGAGTCTGGACTAGTTTTGGATGGGACTTACAACAAACACTTTAAAGAAGACACCAAGGTACTTTGTAATATATTTGTTCATCACTCCACGCTATTTGTTTATAGACTAAATGCTGGGAGTCACATGTCTTATTGAACAAACAAAGGTACTTAAGGTGTGTGTGTGTGTGTGTGTGTGTTATTTTGGGGGGATGGGAGAGATTTTTGGTTGGTTAGTTGGTTTGTGGTTTAACGCCGCACTCAGCAATATTCAAAAGAGAGAGAGAGAGAAACGTTAAACTACAATCCAACCAACATAATTAGGTTGTGGGTCATGTTCATACGAGATACACGAGGATTTCATTTCTCAATGGCGACCATATTGGATTTTTTGGATGGCCCATATCTTAAAATATTTGGCATGTCACACAATATATCTGTACCAGGTTTCATGGTTTTAACACAAAGTGCACAATTTTTCACGAAATAGCTCGACTTTATGGTATACCAATACCAATGCCTATTATTCTAAATAAATGTAAGAGTACACTTTACTATAGCCAACCGCAGAACCTAATTTATCTTAACGAATCCTGATATCTTCCAAATAGATTATATTAAGGAACCTTTAAATGCATCTGCGATAACAAATATATACGCTACTATAGACTACTCAGCCTTCTCGATATAAAATACACAGTTCTTAACAACACGTTAAATATGTGAGTATGAAATAAGACCCGTGAAGATTCCGGGGTAGAATAGGTCTTCAGCAACCCATGCTTGCCGTAAAAGGCGACTCTGCTTGTCGTAAGAGGCGACTAACGGGAACGGGTGGTCAGGCTCGCTGACTTGGTTGATGAATGTCATCTATCCCAATTGTGTGGATCGATGCTCAAGATGTCAATGACTGGATTGTCTGGTCCAGACACGATTATTTACAGACCGCCGTCATATAGCTGGAATATTGCATCTGCGATAACAAATATATAAACAATTATAAACTACTTAGCCTACTCGGTAGTGAAAGCACAGTTCTCAACAATTCGTTAAATATGTTAGTATGAGTGAGTCAGGTCTCAGACGTTTACCATTTCGGTAAAACCCACGAACACGGTTATGGTGCTGACAAACCTAGAAACATAATTGGGTCGAATCGGGATTCGAACCCACAATTATAGGTTTATGGACAAAGGGACGCAACTCTGCACAGCGAATCGCGGCGCCTTGGACGACTGGGCCACCCGTGCCCCCTGTTATTATGAAATAAAACAATATACCATCAGCCATCCACGAAGTGCACATAAAACATTGAATAGCGAACAATATGCTGAGCAAAAACTTACCAAGGGACAACGCAGCTTTCAAAGTCGTCAGATTGAAACTATTCTTTGTCTGGTTCACATCTGCCGACACCAACTGTATGTCTTGTGAGACTTGTGTCAGGGACTGCTTGTTGTCCAGGGCTTGTTTCTGTACAACGGACAGGTCACTTCTCAACGTGGTGACCTCAGCACTCGTTAAACTTAAGTTATTCTGCATCAAATGCAGGCCTGCAGAAGTTGAGTTCATGTCTATCCCCAACCTCCCCACTTCTTTTGATGCACTTTGTGCTAGCGCCTTTGTCGACTGGAGTTCCACGTAATGCTGATCCTGTTTATGTGTGATAAGTTGGACCACATACGATGTATTCTGAGTTAATCTTTCTGCCTCTCCCTTTACTAGACCAAGTTGTTCGTCTAACGTCTTCATTTTCGACTGCACTGTATTTACTTGTGCTGTGTTCAACTTGACATCGAGGCTGAGTGAATTCACCTGACTATTAGTATTACTGTTTCCAGTTTTCACGTCATTCATTTGTGCTTTCAACACAGCGAGGTCATTGGACGATGCCCGCAGTTCTGTCTTCAAGGCCGTCACTTCATTTGTCAGAGAAGAAATCTGAGCAGCTGCCAGTGCCTTGTTGACTTTTATATCTGACTGTAACTGTCCGGTTGTTGTCTGAAGGCCGGTCACAGTCTGCTCGAGAAGGGTGACGTGGCTTAAAAGGCTGGTTAGATCTGTGCTACCGTCCGGCTTTGTTATAGGCAAAATAAGTCCAGAGAGAGATCCACAGAGCAAAATAAACAGAGAGAGAACCGCCACATACATTATCCGTGTGTGTTGGTTGGCGTCGTCAGTTTGGACACTGTTCTACGTCTGTCCGTTATTTTCCCTTTATCTACATTATGTCGGTCGTGCGAACAGTGCATCTGCAACAAGTGTTTGAGACTTCTGGCACTCCTATTCCATGGTGTGTACTATGATACAACAGAGAGTCGCAAGGCAGGATTATCTCAGTTTATCAAAAGTTATAAATTGATTCAGTTGATGGAACTCTTTTCTGTATAAATGATGTATAAATCACGATAATAAGCACACGAAACAAGTACAATTGTATTTGGAGAAAGTACATAAATGGTATCCTGAAAATGCAAATAAAGCAAAGACCAACTATCTGTATTACTGTGGAAATATTGAGAGAGAGAGAGAGAGAGAGAGAGAGAGAGAGAGAGAGAGAGAGAGAGAGAGAGAGAGAGGTGAGAGAGAGAGAGAGAGATATGGAATATTGCTGAGTGCGGCGTTAAACAGCAATCCAACCAACCAACATAATTAGGTTGTGGGTCATGTTCATACGAGATATACTAGAATTTCAGTTTTTTGGGATGGCCCATATCTTAAAATATTTGGCATGTCAAAAACTATAACTGTACCAAGTTTCATGGTTTTAACACAAAGTGCACAATTTTTCACGACTTTATGGTATAACTGTATACAAATTAACTTGTGTATACCAAAACCAATGCCTGTTATATCTAAATTAATGTTAGAGTACACTTTGCTATAGCCAACCGCTACGTTTGAAGTGCATTACAGAAGAGCTCAAATGTCAACTGACAACATGACCAGAGTATGAGGCTCAATTACAAATGTTGACACGTGATATTCCAGCTATATCACGGCGGTCTGTAAATAATCGAGTCTGGAACAGACAATCCAGTGATGGACATCATGATCGATGTTACGTATCAACCGAGTCAGCGAGCCTGACAACCCGATCCCGTTAGTCGCCTCTTACGACAAACATAGTCGACTTTAACGGCAAGTATGGGTTGCTGAAGACCCACTCTACCCCGGATCTTCACGGGTCTGTTTCTGGTCTTTGATGCAAACAAAGTCAAATGTCAAAAGGAAGACCTGGATCGGAATAAATTCAAAGAATAGTAAAATCTATGTCCCAATTATAGCGAGGGTGAACACACGTTTCATTCATTTGTATCAAAGCGCTTGGTGGTGATGCTAACGTGAGTAAATATAACAAACAACTTTGTTTACTCTTACAAACCTTGAGAGAAAACGTAACTGGCATATGATTGTAGATACACATCCCCAGCAACCTTCGCTTGTCACAAGTGTGTCAAATAATGTTTACATCACATCGGCAATATCTCGGCCAAATAGATACGGCCGTTGGGGATACGGATAAACCAGTCGTTTAAAGCTAAGGAATTCATTCTCCAGAGGGGAGTCCCACCCAGGCTTTGTTTCGAGGTTTGTCAGCGCGATATCAGGCGTTTCTGTTATGTGGCACTAGATATAGTAAATATTAACATATACGTCAACACCAGAGAATATCTTGCCTAGAATATCTTCCGAAACGGATTCCATTGAGCGAAAAATGTAAAATAACAATATAAAGTGTTTGAATGGATCAGTGACAACTCAAGTGACGAAAAGGGTACGCAAGTCCTGCCCTGCCCGTAGCAACTGCCACACAAAATATGCATACAAAGTTACGTGATAGTTGCCTGATGCCCAACAGCAGTACTCCATTCGTGACAAACTCTTGTTATTCCGGGACAAGCCGAATAGCGACTCGTGCCCCTCTCGTGGCCATTTTTGCGACCGGGTTCAGTCTTAGCGCAAACGGGCATACCTAAAACAATTGTCAACTCGTTGCGTAATCGTTCACACATTTTCCCAATATATTATATATTTTCAGATGCAATTTAAAGCACATCGGGACGTGCAGAATTATACAGTATGATTGACCACATTTAACTGTGTCTTTTGTATATTTTTAGATGCAAGACATATGTAAAATCAAAAATTATTTCTGAGGGATTCTCTGACGAAGAATTTGAAATCATACGCGCATTCTGATTGGTTTGTCGTATTTTCGCACATAACATTCATCGATAGGGGGACGAGTCATTCGTGACCAACTCGTGTTTCCGGGACAAGCCGAATAGCGACTCGTGCCCCTCTCGTGGCCATTTTTGCGACCGGGTTCCGTCTTAGCGCAAACGGGCATAACTAAAACAATTGTCAATTCGTTGCGTAATGGTTCCCATATATTTCCCCATATATTATATATATTTCAGATGCCTTTTAAAGCACATCGGGACGTGCGGAATTATACAGTATGATTGAAATGATTTAACTGTGTCTTGGGTATATTTTTAGATGCAAGACATATGTAAAATCATAAATTATTTCTGAGGGATTCTTTGACGAAGTACTTGAAATCATACGCGCACTCTGATTGGTTTGTCGTATTTTCGCACATAACATTCATCGATAGGGGGACGAGTCTTCTTGCAGGTTACGGAAAGGGGCGAGTGCTGACGAATGGGGGACGAGTCTTCTTGCAGGTTACGGAAAGGGGCGAGTTGTGGCGAATGAGCAGTACTCCTGCCATGGCGACGGCGGATCGTAAACAAAACATAATTGATGAATGCTCCTGAGTATTTGTTTCCAGGGGTGACTATTTAGCCCAAAAAACTATTGCGATATCAATAAGTATTGCAAGCAACTATAATAACTATTGTTTGTTTGTATGTTTGTTTGATGTTTAACGCCGCATTCAGCAATATTCCAGCTATATTACGGCGGTCTGTACATAATCGAGTCTGGACCAGAAAATCCAGTGATTAATATCGTGAGCATCGATCCACGCAATTGGTTGGTTTGTTTGTTGTTTAACGCCGCACTCAGCAATATTCCAGCTATATGACGGCGGTCTGTAAAATAATCGAGTCTGGACCGACAATCCAGTGATCGACATCATGAGCATCGATCCACGCAATTGGGATCGATGACATGTATCAACCAAGTCAGCGAGCCTGACCACCCGATCCCGTTAGTCGCCTTTTACGACAAGCAGAGTCGCCTTTTACGGCAAGCATGGGTTGCTGAAGACCTATTCTACTTCGGAATCTTCACGGGTCGATGAAACCTGGATTACTCACGACAGCCGCAAATCCATGATGATAAAACCCAGAATGGCATCGGATATTGCAATGGCACGATGTGAATTAGCAGGAAGTTTCTTCGACTTCATTGTGTATGTCAATTTTATTTGGTTTTTTTCTTCGGTGTCGATGTCTTACCACGTGTTTCACCGCTGGGGCTGGCATCCCTTGTTGTACCTGTGGAACAGTGCTTTCTTCGCATGTGATCGAACAATTTTGTCGTGTTTCTATATCTAAGAATTGTTAATTTCATAAGCACATGTAATGTGTGAATTGAAATTATAATTTCATTAATACAACGAAGTAGATGTGATAGCGGTGTCTTCATCTGCTCATGCTAAAAATAGGCCAAGTTCAAAGGTTACGATCTCATGAAACGAGAGCGAGACCTAATTACCCATAAGCCCTTCTTCATTATGCCGAAGTGCTAAAAGAACAACTAAGAAAAGAGCTTCAATAAAACATTTATTTGGGATGTCCCAAATTAAGGTGACAAGTAACCCGAATGCGAACGCGAACTACAAAAACAGTCTTATCTGAGACTGCAACCGGACGGATAATCTTGGTCCAAGCTGGACATCTGGAATGTGGGAGTTTCAGCCAGGTCTCCTCCTAATAGCGTCCTCTGTAAAGAGATACAATTCAGTCAAAATACAAGCTAGGGAGGGAAATGCAAGGGTGGGGCTATCACATCTACATTACATGTGCTTATGAAATTAACAATTTCACCACATAAAACTCCGTAGATGTGATAGCGGTGCTTTAAAGCTCTAGTTAAGTATTTTAAACTGGATTCCACATTCTTTAGTCTCCCTCCGGTAAAACTGCTTGAAAGTAGATGCTCTAGACCAGTTTCCCAGTTCTAAAATTTCAGTGATCGAAGCACCTTTAGTGTAAGCTTTTGATGTAGAAGCCCCCCGGACAGAGTATGCTTTATACACTGTAACATTGATCCCTGTATCCTTCATCACATAAGTTACCCATCTAGCAACTGTAGCTGTGGATACAGGTTTGTGGGGTTTCACATAACTGAGTAATAACTTATCTCTATCCCCATCCTTTCTCCACAGGAGTGTGCGGTCAAGGTAGTCTCTGATACACTGCACTACACAGAGCAAAGGGTTCTTAGGATAGGCTTGTATGGTCAACTTATGAGGTTCTGACCAAGGCTTAGAGATCTTTGTGGGCTTTGTCAAAAGAAAGACAACCTTGTCTCCCTTGTCAGATGTGAACTTTACGTTCATGGAAGTAAGTTCAGCTGCGCGACTTGCTGATGTAAGCATCAACAAAATAGCCAGTTTCTCTGTCAGATGCTTATCTGATAATTTACCATTTTCAGGCATATTACCAATATGGTCCATGACCACGTCTACATTCCAAGTTTGGTGGCATCGAGGACATGGAGGTTTCTGATTGAAAATAGCTGTCATAAGTTTCTTGGTCAAAGAATGTTGACCAACTGGGTAGCCATGTATGTGGGGATGAAAAGCAGACAAAGCTGATCTGCTAGTGTTAACGGTTCTGTATTCAGATCCACTTTCATACATGTGGGTTAGATACTCTAGGATATGTTCCAAAGAGGCTGAAAAGGGATTGATTTGCCGTTCCACACACCAGCAAGACCACCTCTTCCAGGAGGAATTATAAGCTCCTTGCGTCCCTGGTCTCCACTGGTGTGACAAAAGCTCGGCAGTTTTTTGCGAAATGCCTCCTGAAGTGACCAGATTCCTGAAACCCTCCAGGCCGCTAATAGCAGTGTCCCGTTTGCTACCAGAGGGTGTGTTTGACCTTGTGGTGATTCCAGCAAGTCGGCCCACACTGGTAGAAGTATTGGACACTCCACTGACATCTCCAACAGGACAGAGTACCACGCCTGGCCCTGCCACACTGGAGTTATCAAGGTCAGTTTTGCCCTCTCCCTCCTTACTTTCCACAGACATCT